AGCTTGTTTTCCAAATGCTGTCCTCGGGCTTCGTCCTCTCCTAGTAAAGACACAAATCAGAGATGGATCGTTATAAAAACTTTTAATCCAATAAAAAAGTCTATGACATTTATACATGGTGTCGCAAGTTTTTTATATACATGTACAATGCCACTACTGCCTTCTTCAGCCCACAAAAAAGGCTTCCCTTTCGGAAGTCAAACAGTATTTCCAATCTCACATTTAACTCTCTAGCAGCTAATTAGCCATACAATTCCAACGGCACATCTGTATACTGACTGAAAGAAAATTATTCTTGAGTAGCTGTTCCATCAGTATCCTTCAATTGCACTAGCAAACCCTTTCATTTATTACCTTCTTCTCGTTTGGCTCATGTGTTTTCCCAAAGAGTCAGCCTCTGGCAACTCACACTCCTCTGGTTCATCTTCAGGTTTGCTGGCTTCTTCTCCCAGTTGCTCAACTGGGCCCTCACAAACCTCCTCTTGTCCCGCATCATCTAAGATTTTACAAAGACATCCGACAGAAGTCGTCTTGACTGGTGACTTCCCTGAGTCTGAGTCTGTAATAATGGTCAAAGGGAGACAAGGCAAATTTCGTTAGGAACAACTGATAACACAAATTGCTTTACAGCAAAATTTTTTTAATGACAGGCTAAATAAGTAGTCTCACCAAAGGATTACAAAATATTATTCGCTATGCTTGACAGTAGAACAACAATGCATGTAAAGCACATTGGAACAGCCCAAAAATCTGGATTTTATTGATGCTGTCATACCTGGATGGGTTAAAGGATCAACCAAAGTCTCTATGGGATCTGTCTGACATTGAGCATCCACAAATTGTTTAGAGTGCTAATCAAGAATCTGTCATGATAAGAAAATGCCATGCAATATCTAAAGTGAATTATATGTTCCAGTTGCGTCAGTCAAACTAACAAAAAAATAAAAACAATTGGAATTATCACATCCTAATACATGTACATGAGTAAAGAAAGGGCTTTCATACAGACAAACCACATAATGCATGAGAGATCAAACACATTGAAATGCAGCAAAAACATACATG